GTGAAATCGAGCAGCAATGCCCCTTGAATGCTTCGGGTGGGCCCGGTCCGTTGATGAGGTCCCTCGGGTATAAGCCAGCGTGTGAGCTACCTGTGCCCCCTTGGCCTTAGACTTCAGAAGTCCTCCCTCCCTCTGCGCGCTCTCTTTCCACGTCCCTGGCCCCGCCTGTCTCGTGCCTCTGCAGGGCCTAGACCAGTACTGTCGAAAAGATATATAATGCGAGCCACGTATGTGATTGAACTTTCCCAGGACCCCCATAAAAGAGTAAAAAGAGTTGGATGAAACTAATCTTGATGTATTTTATTTAACCCAATCATTTTAACATGGGATCAATATTTAAAAATTACTCATGTGACATTTTATATATATATATATATATATATATATATATATATATATATATATTTTTTTTTTTTTTTTTAAAGAAGCCTTCAAAATGCATGGTGCATTTTACATGGACAGTACACAAGTGCCCAAGCTCCCCACAGGGCCAGTGGCCAGTGCACTGGGGGCGCAGCGCAGCTAGAGCTCAGCCTTAAGGGTGTCCAACTGCCCACGCCCTTCGCTCAGTCCGCTCCCAAGATACTTGCCGTCATGGGAGCTTCAGTCAAAGGAACGATGGACCTGGCTGTTAAAGATGCCATGCTGTCTTCACGTTACTCAACTTGACTCCCATCTGCACGGCAGGGTGACAATTTCAGGAGAGATCAAACTGCCTCCTAATTGGTCAGAGGACACCTGCCCTCTGCAGCCCCCGTCCGAAGCGTAACTGAGCTTGCAGCCTCTTCACTCCCAAGGAGAAGAGGCTTTACCCACAGTCACGAACCACACACGGGGCCTGGACCTCTACCTCAGCCCCCAAACATGGCCCTGGATACTCGCGAATAATGAAGGAAAAGGTGGCGGCACTGCTGTCCAGCTGCATGGTCATTTAACACCAGAAAGAAAGGTGACAACGAGGTCTAGGGGAGGATTTTCGAGAAAAAGTACATTTCCCTCAGGACTTCTCCCAGGGGCGAACTCCTGGGACGAAGCAATCAAACAGACTGGGTTCTTGGGATTTTCCTCTTGACCTCAGAGCAAATAGGATGTGCCTTGAGGCAAGTCATTCCACTTTCAGTGCCTGATAGGGACGTCCTCCATGTTGGAATGGGGCCACCCAGCAACCAGGGACATGTTGGGGGAATACAAGCCTCGAACCCTGCGAAGATGAATGGATAGGGCAGTTGCCTCACCTGCTCTCTCCCAGGACCCGCGCTTTGCCTGGGCCTCCCCCCCAGGAGGCCGGGCCCACCGGTGGAGCGATGAGTGTGGCTGATGGGCCACAGCCGTCTCCTGGCACTCTGCAGCCCTGGGCCCTTCCGAGGGGCTGCCAGGCCGGCAAACGCCACTCCCCTCTGCCGCTCAGCAGAGCAGCCCCCTTGCCCGTGCCCGTGGTACCGCTGCAGGCGATCCCGCCCCCCGCCCCCTCTTCTTTCTGTGGTCTCCTCCTTTGTGACTGCTACAGCATATGTTTTATTAAAGGGAAAAGAGGAGGGGAGACAAGAGGTTATGTACATGGGCATGCTCAAGAATCTTAAGATTGAAAATCTCCTGCTCAATGCAAAATGCCTGAGGGCTTTGGCGCTTTGCCGGCTCTAAGGAAGCCCCAGTGGGGACTTTTGGGTGGGGAAACAGGAAATGGAGGAAAAGCAAGGTTTTCTCTTAGGAGAATCTGTCTCCAAAATATGAAAAGATTTTTCTCATGTTCTCTTGAAATTTGCCTGCATTCCCTCCATATCTTCGTCCACTTTTTTTGGTATGGTATTGACAAGCTCTTTGACCTTGAGCCCCGTTTTTCCCATAATGTACGGTGTAGGCTCATGGAGGGTGGGTGGAAGGCTACGTAATTTTCAGTGCCTAGTGAGATGTCCAACATTTCAGTCCTCTGTCTGGTCCGGAGAGCAGCTTCCTCTAGGCCAATGCATGCTTCAAATAATTAACCCGAGTGTATGGTCTTTCCCGGATGTAAATGGGGAAGTGACAGAGGGTTACATCCCCCCACACATCCCCCCTCCCCCGCCCCGCCAATCATGGATCCAGCCCTTTCAACTTGTGCTGCTCTTAGCATCTCTGGCAGCTGGAGTCCTTTCCCTTTTTCTCCCTCTTCAAACACATCCCACACCATCCCCCGCCCCCCCCCAATACAAATGCTCCCTCCCCGCATTCCTGATAGATAGCTCTCGTTATCTGGACAAATCAATCGTAGATTAATTAGGTCAGCCTCATGAATCCCTTCTATTGAACTGCTGCTTAGAATGTAGATTGCCATTTACCTTTGCCCAGATGTAAGCCTGTTTTCCTAACTAGACTGTAAGATCACTGAGGGCAAAGGCAAGGTGTGCCCCTCAGAGCCCTGAGGTAGGTGCCGGAGGAGAAGCTGTTTGTCCCTGCGGCCTCCTGTTCCTGCAGGGAACGGAAAAATCGAACCCCATCACAGTCTCGAGATTAGGCCGGTCCTTAGGAGAAGTCCCGGAGCAGGGGGTTGCTTCAGCACCCAGGAGACCCCCTCCCAGGCCCCCGCCATTGCCCTGTGGCCCTGAGTAAAAGCAGTAGGGTCACCACCCCCGGGGTCCTTTGCCCTTGCTTTTCCAAGAAGGAGGCTAGAATGATTCTAGCTCTACTTCTTAGGGTAATCAAAGATTAATGAGACAATAAGCCATGTGAGGATTAATTAGATGAGCTCCCTACGATGCTCCCAGCCCTTTGGAAAAGGATGCCGTTATAAAATGTAGACAAGCTCTTATTTAAGAGAAAGAGTTGCATTGCCAAAAATACACTGCACAGTGGGGAAAACAAACCGCTAAGCAGGAAACCTCAACCCTAAGCATCCCAGTCAGCAGAAAGTGCCCACGCAGATGTCTCCATCCCTCCCAGATTACCTCTTGTTTGTGAGCAGGGGAGGGATTTTGGAGCACGGGAGGAGGGGATCTCTTTAATGTGATGCTCCCCAGTGGCCAGCTTGTGCCTGGGGAGAGGGGATCAGAAGGAGCTGATGACGCAGGGACGTTCTTTGCCCTCTGGCCTTGCTTAGTAAACAACCTGTTAGGAGGCCAGAAGGGAGCACCCAGAGGATGGTCTTTAAGGGCCAGGAAGGAGCAGATGCTCCCCAGCCTTGAGACTGGCCCAGGGCTACCGGCCGTGGTGCAGGAACGCTCCTCCCTCCCTAGCCCTTCCCTCCTCTCCTCTCCTCCTCCGGTGCCCACACTGCAGCACACGTCACCCCGTTCTGGGAGCCAAAGCTGGCCCCGTTTGGGGTGAGGAGGGAGAAGCCAGCGTCAAGGATGCTTCTGTCTCCTCCGTGGTTGCAGCCCACCCGCCAGACCCTGTGGAGGCAGCTGCCCTCCAGCAGAGGAGCCCGTGGTCCGACATGTGTTCCCTTTCCTCAAACGTCTCCCCGTACCCATGCGCTGCACTGGCCCAAATCATACCCCTCCTGCAGGAGCCAAGCATGCACCGTTCCCCAGAGTAGGCAGCAGCAGAGACATCAGTGGGATCCCAGGACCATGTGGAAGCATTGCTTGGTCATGCACCCAAGGCTGCAAAGCAACTTATCCTGGCTGAGAGGAACTCCGAAGAGTCCTGTCTTAAACAAATAATGTACACACAGCTGGGTGAAGTCGAAAGGGAAAAGACACCAACCCCAGCATCCCTCTGCTCTTGCCTGATGTCATCAGACTGCCCCCCAGGGGATTCTGTAAAATACTTGAGCTGCTTGGTTAACACTGGCATTGCATGCGTCCTAGACAGCATGGCCAGAGAGTGTCCCTTGCACATGCCCAAGTTGGGAGAAGGACAGAGGCAGAAAGACTTGCCTGACAGTATGCCCCTTCACCCCCTGATGGTCTGTGCTGACAAATCATTGTCCCTGCTGGATGAGGTCCAGATGACCCAGCTCTCGGCAGGCCTCTTTTAATTGCTCTCTTTCATGAAACATTTCACCTGCTCAGGGCACCGGATCCCAGAGCTGGGAAGAGCACACACACAGTTCTTTATGGAGGGGTCTGTTCAATCATGTTCCGGTGCATTGGCTTGATTATTAGTTAATATTTGGCTTAGCTCTATATACCCTGGATAAATATGTACCAGGCAGAGGGGCTGTTTGGCGAGGAGAAAACTCCTCTGGGCTGGAACGGCAGCTCCCAAGTTCAGGCTCCTGTTAGGAAGGAGCGCGCTGGCGTCTGGGGCCTGGGCAGAGCTGCACACGCATGGTTCCTGCCGGCAGCCCGCTTCCTGCATACAGCTGCGAGCCCGGCGCACACTCACACACACACAACCACAGGCAGCGTCAGGCTGTGCACCCAGACCGTCCCAGGGACGGCCAGCTAATGTCAGCAACGCCCCTCCTTCCAGTGTGCAGCCAGCCCCAACTCAATCGGCGGGCTCCTGCCACCACCCTGGGGAGACAGATTGCAGCCTATGGGGTCAGATTTTTTTCCTGAGCTGCAACGTGGATGGGAGAAAGAGGCAGGCCTCTGCAGACATGTCACAAAGCTCGATGAACATGTGAGCACAGATGTATCACGGAGCACGACCTCAGCCCTTGGGGGTCCTTCTCAAACACAGTGAACCACGCGCAGTCTCAGCCTGGCAGGCAGAAGTCCTCGCCGTTTTCTGCAATTAGGCAGCCCGACTGGATTTTCTGAAGCTAATGGGAGTTGCACTAACTTTGAGGACTTAAACCAGGCAAAAGCAATATAGGTCAGGCAGAGTGCCCAAGCCCTGTGACAGCCATGCGACACCATGAAGCAGGAACAGGGCCATCTCTAGGGCTAAACCCCCAAGTGCACCACTCGGCCCCACCAAACAAACTATGAGATGGGATCATTCCTTCTGTCTGCAACTGCCTGGCGCCTCGGCAACAGGGTTGTAAGAGGGCCAATGATCTCCTTACCAAGGGACACACAAAAGGACAACGAAGAGGGGACAGGGGGAAAACCGCCCAAACCCTGCTCTGTTACCTTGGATCCTTGCAAGAGCCCTCCTGGCTGTATCAGCTGCTCCCCAAACCTCCACCGACTGGGAGGAGACTCCTAAAAGATTCCAGGTTTTTGTGCAACATCTCCAGTGGCAGCTTTCCAAAGTTTCTACTTCATGATTTCTTGTGACTTTCTCATTTGGGGAAACGCGAATGCCTCCCCTTCAGCTTGTGAGAGGGAAGGGGAGTCTTTTTTTCAAATTCTCTTGCTCCCGGCTTTGCCGCCGCTGCTGCCGCCGCTAGACCACTTGCCGGCTGCCTTCCCGCTGAGCAGCCGGGATCGCAGGCACCCAAAGCGGGTCGGAAGTGGGGCTTCGGCGCTGAGTGCACGCGGGTCGGAGAGGGAAGGAAAGTGCAACACCCAGCCAGGGGAGTCCCCCGTCCCTCCACCGAAGAGGAACCCAAGATCTCGCCTTCCTTGCAACTCTGAAGGGATTCACCCGCCCTCTCTCTCTCCCGAAATCACTGCCTCGCACATGGGCAAAGCCCCTTCCTCCGGCTTCAGCGCTCGCTCGGCTGCCCGCCGACCTGTCCCTGTGCTCGCTCCGCACGGCAGGTGCCCGTCCCCGGGCCAGGGCGAGCGGGATGCTCCGGCGCAGCGGAGGCGCGTCCCCAGCCGCCGCCAGCAGCTTCCGAGGCGGGTGGATTCCAGCCCGGGCCGCAGCCAGCGTCCCTGCTCGACTCCGCGCTCCGCACCTACTAAGCAGTGTCACCTGCAGACTCAGACACCAGATGAGTGTCTTAAGATAACAATGCTGCCGGGCCTGCCTCTCTCTCCCTTTCTTATGCACGTAGCTTGGCAGCCAATGGGGCACAGCGCCACAGTCCCCGCGGGCGCCCATTGGCTGGCGGCTTGGCAGAGGGCGGGCCCGGAGCCTCCCCGCTGTCTCCTTCGATCAGCGAGCGGGCGGGGGTCCGGCTCCGTTAACCCTCCCGCCTTGCAGCAGGGATTCTTGCCTGGGCTTGGAGGGCTTAGATGCAGTCAGGGCTCGGGGAGTGCACGGAGGCTGCGGGACGGGAGGGGGCTTGGGGGCTAGTTACCTTTTCTTCTCCTCTGCCTGAGTTAGAGTAATCATTCGTCCCAGACCATGTTGTTTGCTTAACTAGAACTCCCAGATATAGGGACTCTGTCTGAGTCATTCTCCTTATAATTTGAGGTTTTATTCAATTGTTTCTGTGTACTTTAGCCTCTTGGTCCTGAATTACTTAATTAGAAATGAGCCCCCTAGTGTCATTGTGTGTGTGTGCGCGCGCGCGCGCGCGCGTGTGAAGGTGGGCGGGGGGAGAGGAAAGGTAGGAGAAACTCAGAAGAGTAGGGAGAGAAACAGATTTAGAGTCTTGGAACAGCTAAATCAAGAAATATTCTGTCCCCAAACCAGGGTTTCAAAGACAAGGCAAAAACTTCTGGGGAGAAATGAAGGAGGGAAATGTCCTGCTTCCAAAAGAGGGAATTGTTCTGCCTGTGCTGTTTTCCTTCTGCGTGTCTCCTTTCACTTCAGTGCGGGTCAGGAAGAGGGACTGTGCTTCTCCATTTGGTTTTTAAAGGGAGACCAGAGATTCAGAACAGGACCAGCCTTGTTTCTGTGAAGCAGGTGCTGTAGCTGAGCCTGTGAATGGGAGCGGGCCTGGGGGTGGGGTGGGGAAGAGACAGAAAGAGAAAGATATTAACTTTGAATCAAAGAGTGTAAAATATATCCTTTATGTTCCAATGAAGATGCAAAACTGAATTATATCCAGCTTACCAGCATACTACACTAAATTTTGGCAAGAGCTCAGAGTTGGAGCTGGCAAAGGAATTTGGGGGTTTCACAGTAAGTCATGTGATGGGAGAAATATAGAAAGAATCCACAGTTAGAAAGGGAGAGAAGTGTTTGATTTAGTTCCTTAAATGGAGAACAACATTTCTGGAAAAATAAAAATATGCAGAGGTTTAATAAACACCAAAGTAATATTAATCAGGATTAGCTAAAAAGCATCAAGGAATCCGGTGTTCTGAATGAATAGAGGAAAATTAGAAATATGCCTCGTATACACACCCTTAGTCCCACCCATCCATCACTTTCATCTGCATTCCCTTCTCTCCATCTCATACAGGTTTGACCTTCCTTCTCCATCCTGTAGTATTTGTTTGCCTTAGCTACCCAGTGTTTCAGAGTGGTGGTCCCCAAGGGTCCCCAGCTCTCCTATTGGATAAAATGTCCAACTGAACCAGTGACAACCTCAATTAGTTGCTGTCCAACTGCTGAGCTATTTATTCCTGTGCTTCTTAGTGACAGAGGCCCCCTGAACTTACCCCAGGTTATGCGGCATTAAGTGTTGAGACTCTTACGAAGTTGAAGGGAGCAAGTAAAGGGAAGGAGTAGTTGAAAAAATTGTTATCAATTTCAATGGAAAGAAAGTTAAATTTTCCAAGATCTCTAAGGGGAAAGGAAAAGGGGTGAATTTGGGAGATAAGAAAACCACTTGAAAAAAGAAAAACTTGCCTGTACTTTCTTCTCCTATGGTGTCCTAAGCCCTGTAACAACAACAAAAATCTGACTTAATATACATTAAAAAAATTCTACAAGTGTGCAGTTTGGTGACTTTTTGCCTATATATGTGTCAGTGTGAACACTACCCACATAACCCCCGGCACTCCAAGAAGTCTGTCCTGCCCTTCTCAGCCAAAACCTCTCTCCTCCAGTGATAACCAGAGTTCTGATTTCCATCTTCAAAGGTTAATGTTACCTGCTCTTGAATTTCATAAATACAGAATTTAGACTATATACTCTTAAGTTTCTGGTTTCTTTCATTTATCCATTTGTCTGAGAGTCATCCATGCAGTTGCATGTTTACTTTTTATTGCTGTGTAGTGTTTTGTTACATGACTATATGACATTTATTTATTCTCCAGTTGATGCATATTTGGATTGCTTCCATGTTTTGTCTAATAAAAGTAAACCTGCTGTGGCTGTTCTTGTACATGTCTTTTAGTAGACATATGCAATCATTTATCCTAGGTATTCAGCTCAGAGTGTAAATCACTTAACTTGCTTTTGGCTACAACATGGAGAAAAAAATCTCACAGAGAAGATTCTCAAGCCTACATTCTTTCTGCAGTAATTGAATAAGGGGATAATGGCAAAAGCTATCACACTGAGCACCCACTAAATGCCTAAAATATGTCAGCTCCTTGATACCTAATCTCATTTCCTTCTCACAACTATTCTAAAGAGTGTGTTTTATTGTTTCTATTTTGCAATAGGAATATTGAATGCAATACATTGTGTCAAGAAATGGCCCTTGGCCTCCTAAGGTGATGTGTGTGTGTGTGTGTGTGTGTGTGTGTGTGTGTACCTCCCCCATGAGAGGAGCTGTGAGTGAGGGAAACGATGGAAGGTCTCTGCACAGGTGAAGCTGGGTGGTGGCCTGCGGAGGTGGGACGGGCGGGAGAGCACCGAGGGGTGCGTTCCAGGGGGGCAAAGTGCATGGGAAGAGAAAAAGCAGAAAACGGGCTTTAATTTGGTTGGGTTGTGTCTGGGCTGTGTTGTCAGGGGAGAGGGAAGGATAGTGTGGTGAGCAACACATCTAAGAGAATAAGTAGCATGAGATTTGGAGGCGTTTTTACATTTCTCCACCATGCTTGAACTTATTCCCAAGAGGGGAAACCTTTAGAATGGCATAAGAAAGCAAGATTTCACGACAGTCAGCCTGCTAGCTGTGTGAGGAATAGGGTACCAGCAGGGGAAGCATTTGGAAGTTGTCATTAGTCAACAAGCACGGCCTTTGATACTTGAATGTAGGAAGTTGGATCTCAGGAGAAGACTCAGGGTTGGGGATAACCAAAACCGACATTTGACAGTGTCTTAGTGAATAGAAACACTTGCACTTGTATTTTATCTCAAGCCTATGGGATGGGCAGAGATCACTGACCCCATTTTATGGAGGACGACACTGAAGATAAGAACGGTCCAGGCTCACCTCCAAATAGGCACAGAATGGAGCTGAGACTTGAATAAAGTCCTGTTGTTTCACTATATCATATTGGCTATGCACAAAGGTAATGACTGAAATGCATAGAAATTTCTTCCGGTCCCATTTAAACATAAAACATTACACAGTGCAGTTGGTCTGGTTTCTGTGAACTTCAACCTCTCTTCCATCTCTAGGTGTTTAATTCCCTAAGAGGAGACCATGTGACATTGTGTCCAAGTTTACAGGAATCCAGTGCTCGGGCAAAATACTATCTCTTTCTACTTGTACAGTTTCTTGCTCAACTATTTCATAGAGAAAGAAGCCTATAAAGGCTTAGACACCAACTTCCAACTATTTCCAACCACAGATATATCTTATTTTTTAAAAGATTTTATTTATTTATTTCAGAGAGGGGGAAGGAAAGGAGAAAGAGGGAGAGAAACATCAGTGTGTGGTTGCCTCTCGCACACTCCCTACTGGGGACCTGGTCCACATCCTAGGCATATGCCCTGACTGGGAATCGAACTGGCAAACTTCTGGTTCGCAGGCCAGCACTCAATCCAATGAGCCACTCCAGCCAGGGCAGGTACATATATATTTTAAAATGGCCATTTATCCATTATTATTTTTCTTGTGTCAGTGAGAAAGCATGTAAAAATGACTAAACATTGGCACATAGAAGGCTAGATACTGACTTATAAGAAAATCAACCCCAAGTGTTTCATTTGAATTTTCTAAAATGACTCAAGACACTTCAGAAAATTAGAAAGATTTCAAGCTAGTTGATTACATGCTACTCATAAGCAGAGGAGTATTTTCCTTCTAGTTTCTGTCCATGCCTAGCCAAATGTGCAGCATGTGGCAGGTATGCATAGCATGTGTTAACTGAATGAGTTACTATGACCCATAAAGTCCAGTGATCATCCATGGGTGCTCCTCGATGTACCAGAACCATGTAGTGGAAAGAGCACTAAGCAAAAACAGTCTTGTGGTCTTTGTTCCTTTTTAGCAGATCGGTCTTGGGTAAGTCCCCTATTTCACTGGCTTCGATTTCTTCATCTGTTAAATGAGAAACTGGATTAATCAACGATCTGGTAGTTTGCCGTTCCTCACATTCTAGGAATAAGTTGTGTTTTCCTGGCATTCACCCTGATTTTTCAAGGGCGAACCTTGTATCACGAAGTTTAATACTGCTTTTAATGCTAGTGAGAGTAGGGAAAAAGTATCAGGGAGTCTTTCTCTACCTCAGTTCCTCCTAGGGGAGCGGTGAAGATGAGGATGAGTTTCGGAAGGGTCATTAGCAGATACCTCTGTTTCGCAGCAGTCTGCACAGCTCCATGGCAGCACACCTCCGGGCTTATTCTCAGATACAAAGTCCAGCACCAAGAATGGCCATTTTTTATTACAAAATCTTTTATTACAAAATCATAAGCATGTCATTCTGTAACATAACACTATCACACTCAAGCGCACCATCTGACATTTCAGGTGAAATATTCAAATTAAAACTATAAATTATGACAACTGTATGATTCCCCTACCAGCCCCACTCACGAGGCCTTGCTTCTGCGGGACCCTGTACATGAGACTGGCAATAAAGTTTTTCTTCTTCTTTTCTTTTTGTAAATATGGCGCATTTTCTCTATTCCCATCCATCAACTAGAGTAACTTTGTGAAAATACATGGCAAATTTTTTTTTAAGAACATGCATTTGTATATGCAAATAAATTGACCACACGTAGACTATGAATGAAATTGCTTCTAAAATGGGGGTCATCGCTGAAGAGGGCGGTGCATTAAATTCCTAAAGAGTAGGAATTACCTACAACAGTCTTATGGCGTCTCATATTTAAATCAGCATTCAATCAGTGATGCTGGAGAGGCATGCTTTTCCAAAAAGTTGTTGGTTATCATGTGAGAGAAAGTTCAGTTAAAGATCAGATTCCAGCGCACACAGACGTCATTTTCTACCACTATTTATTCATAACTGTCATCATTTCAAGGCAGCGCTGCCTGGCACTAATGGAAACCAAACTCATAGGCATTTCTGTTGTTGTTTTTTATCTCCCCTGTTCTGCACTCAGCTGGACTAGGATTGACTTGGCCCATACCCAAGGATACTCTTTTATTGTTGTTTTTTTCTCCCCTGTTCTACACTCAGCTGGACTAGGATTGACTTGGCCCATACCCAAGGATACTCTTTTATTCCTTTTCCATTTGTTAAGAGTGCTTAGAAACTTTAGTTTGTCTCATTTTCTTCCAGCCCTGTTCTAGTTACTGGATTCTCTAAAATTAAAGGCTCAACATCTCTTCAACCTGGCACTACTTTTTCTATCACTTAATAGCCTCCCCCAAGTCATCTTCATATTGGTTACAACCGGTAACATTTATAACAGAAATGAAGCCAAGAGAGAGAAGTTTTGCAAATCAAAGTTCTGGTCTCCTGTTTAACTGTATGCAGTAGGTTGGCCTGTTTCTTTGTTGTTCATTATCTACTATGTAAATAATATTTTCTTTAACTGTATCTGCAGTTACCTCTGAGTAAAAAATACACAGAGCATTTATCCCAGCACAGGCTTATCCAATATACAAATCCAACGACTGGTTAAAAAGACAAGAATGTGTCTTGTCTTTTTAAATAAATAACTGGAGATGGATTTGCATCTAGAAAGACCCTCGCACCAGCTCAGACTGAGGGCCTTTTAGGGTGTATGCGTGTGTGTCCTTCCCAATCCATTAGGATGAGGATGAGGAGAGAGGGAAGATTTTGCATTGCAAAGACAGAATTTTAAAAATGCCCTGCAGGTGGTTGATAGCCAAGAGTGAGCTCCTCCCGAAGGAGGTGAGGGAGGAAAAGGCTGGAGCGCAGGCAGCTTGCTGGGGGCTGACCTGATTCCCTAGAATCCTGGGCTCCCTTCCTCTTTCCTCTCCACGTCCTTCCTTCCCATTTCCCCTCTGCTACCCCCCCCCCCTTTTTTCCTTCCCCAGATAAGCAGCTCGGAGAAACAAAGAACGCGGGCGGGCTGTCCTGGCATCGGTGCTTGATCCCGGCGCACAGCAAGCGGCGTCTCGTTCCGGGGACCAGGGCTCTCCTGCCGCGCGTCCCCTCCCCAGCCGCCCCCGCCCCCCGCGCGCGCCCGCTCGCTCCCTCCCCGCTCGCTTCCTCCCCCACCTTCGCGGCGCTGGGAGGAAGGCGCCGGGGCTCAAGATGGCTTTAGCCGGGCTCTGCGCCCTGCTCGCCTGCTGCTGGGGGCCGGCGGCGGTGCTGGCCACGGCCGCCGGGGACGCGGATCCCTCCAAGGAGCTGGAGTGCAAGCTCAAGAGCATCACCGTGTCGGCGCTGCCCTTCCTGCGCGAGAACGACCTGAGCATCATGCACAGCCCCTCGGCCTCCGAGCCCAAGCTCCTCTTCTCGGTGCGCAACGACTTCCCGGGCGAAATGGTCGTGGTGGACGACCTGGAGAACACGGAGCTGCCCTACTTCGTGCTGGGTGAGTCCCGGGGGAGGTCGAGGCGGCCCGAGGCGCCGGCCGGCGCCCCCACCCCCCACCTCGGCTCGCTCTACACACCCACTGGCCGGCGACCTCCCCTCCCCCACTCCTACCTCGCTGGATCCGCCCCGTTCCAGGCCGTTCTCCACACCCACTTGCAGGCTAGCGCCTCGGTGCACCTGACTTCTCCCCACGTCCTACCTGGGTGCCGGGGCCTCAACCTCCTTCAGCTGCCCTGACTCAGAGGAACAGGTCGCCAGAGTCTCTCGGAAATCTTTCCCAGCCTTGACCTCCCAGCTTTCCTTCACGCGCACACTGCCAGCACTGCCTGTCCGCCCCCAGCTAAGCTCCCACAAGCCCTTCTCCCTCCGGCCTGGCCACATGCTCAGGTCTTCGCTTCGCAGCCCTGGACACCCACCGCCACCCGCAGCATTTCCTGGGGGAGTAGGAAACAGGTATCCCGTTGTCACCTTGCCAGGCATGTGCAGGACCATAGCACTCATTGGCAGGATCTCTGTCTTCACTTACAGAGAGCTCCTTCTCTGTCCCCAGGCGATGACACTCTCTCTGGCCTTCCTCGAGAACACCCAAGTTTCCTGTACCCCTGTGTCCATCCTGGCAAGTCCCACCTTCCTTCCTACACGTGTGACAGCCCCTCATTCGGCCACCTCCACATCTCCTGTCACCTCAGGATTCCCTGGGTAAAGAAGTTGTCAGCTGGATTCCATTAATCGGGGTTTCTTCTTTGTTCTCGTGGACACGTAGGTAGGCACAGGCATCCCCGCACACCTGGCCTGCCGGGCAAGAGGCCCATCCTTCCTTCCTTTCTTTGTGTGTTTGTCTCCTTCCATAGCTCTCTTGGTACCCTGGTTTTAATATTCGCAGGCCACCAAACTCCTTCAGGTCCTGGAAACTACCTCACTTCTCACCACCCCCTCTTTCTCACAACCAAGCTGCAGAGGTCTTGTGGTCCTGCTCCAGCACCTCGCAAAGCCCCACAGGTTCGGGCGGCTCCTTTAACTAAAACTTCCCTCCCTTTTCCGTGCGCAGGTGTAGCGCTCTCACTCGGCTGGGTACGCCCACCGTGCAGTCCATGTCTTCAGTGATGTTGTTCCTCATTCTCACTTTGCCCAGGAGAGAATTCAGAGATAACCACAAAGTCAGTCTCTAGATTCAAGAAAAAATAATGCAAATGTCCGGGAGCCTGTTCTAGCTACTCAGTGCCCTGCCAGCTAGAGCTCACTTTGCAGGGACCTGGCTTCCTGACGGCCATAGGCCGGTCAGAGCCGCGGCTGGAACCTTATCCAGCTTCTCCTCACGCTCTTCCTTCCCAAGAGACATCTCCACACAGAAGTGGGTGAGTAGGCCCCCACTTCCCACCCCCATGGAAAAGCAATTTCCTAAATTGCCTAGCCTTTGAAAAGTTGGTTTATAGTTCCCGTTAGGCCACCTACACTCTTGATGACATTATTTATTTTTACATTGAAAACATACTAATAACATAAGAACTGGGGGCGGCGTGGGAACAGGGACATTGTGGATGTGCTGGTTACTCAGTGGACATAAATATCATGCTGAGGCCCTGTTGGTAGGCAAGTACAATCTGTTCATCGCAGTACAGAAGAACGAGGTTAGGGAATTAGGTGTTTCCAAAGACCCCGTTTTGGGCTCCGCATGCAGTGTTTACTGTGCTGAAGAGGGACACGCGGGGTACATGTAAAAGGGAAGATTAGACTAGCACACGTTCAAATTCCACTCCCTGTTTTGCAGAATCCCAAAGCTAGGGCCTGAAGCCATGATGAGCCTACTAGGATCCCGTGTGCACAGCACAAGCCCACATGTGAGAGTGGGTTTCCTGCACCTCTGTGCAGAGCTGCCCACTGCAGCACCCTGCTGGAGTTGCTATGGTAACCTCCTGCAACTTGGCATTTACACACAGGAACAGACTCTCTCTCTCTCCTGTCAGGGCCAGATGCACTTGCTAAATGCATTGATTGTCCGCGCTCTCCCAGTCAGTGGGTGGGCTCAGAACCAGAGATGAGCTAGTACCTGTTCCTTCTGGCCCAGAATCCTCAGGGGGAGTCGTAGTGAACCTCAGCTTGGTGGTCGAGCAGAACTGGGCAGAAAGGGAGAGGGGTCCAAGTTCATGGAGGGTAGACTCAACTGTAGTTGCTTATGGAGTTAACTTTTGTGGTCCTGGATTCTGCCACTTGTAACTCCTAGTAAAGGCCATGGTGACTTTGATTTGGAGCTTTTGCTACTCTTATCTTGGGAAGCTAATTTGCTTAATTTATCCCCTGGAAAAATCTGAATCAGTTGGTTCTGGGAATTTATTGAGCATCTACTTGCTGGGCACTTCTATTAGGATATAGAAGTTAAAAAAAGAAATAACAGGCTCCTGCCCTCAGGTCTTCTTTAGCCAGTGGAAACACAGACTGAGGTATTGAAGAGTGTTAAGTAATTACACCTGATTGTGTGGTAGAGGAAGGTTGAGGAAGGAGCTACTTGAACCGATTAAGATCAGACTCCATGGAGACACGAGCTTGACTAGGGGCCTTGACCAAAATCAGACGCTTGGGTTTCCTTTTGTCTCCAGGATCAAGTTCTGTCACTTCAGCGAGGCGAACAAGGGCCTTTTCATTCTGACCGCAGCCAGTTTCCCCAGCCTCTTATCCTTGCAGGCCTGCTGTGGCCTTTCAGGACTGTTTCAAGACTTTGCACAGGCTGTTCCCTCTGCGTAGAACGCTCTTCCCGCCTTCCCCACTTGGCAATCAGTCATCCACTATTCTCCTAAACCCGTCCTCCACGCCACCTCTCCGTGCAGCCTTCCCTACCAGCCCTGCCTTCCAACCAAGGCAGCTTTAGTCCCTCCCACGTCTGTGGTCTCTGTGTGGTTTAGAAAAACACGCAGGTGAGGGGAATTAAAGGTAGATTAGACTGGGCTTGGCCTGGTGCAGGTGAAGCCGTTTGCCATCCTGGAAGATGAGTGGAGGGCAGTGGTGGGCGTGGCGGTGGGACCCGCACGTGTTTGGCCCGGAGGGAGGGTGATCAGTCTCATAGTAGGAGAGGGGGGAGGCCCGTGCTGAGCCTGGCACTGTGGGGTGTGGCGCGGTAATCCCCCAAAAACCAGGCAGGGCAGTGCCAATTACAGCCAGCCGTGCAGCCCGCCCCGTGGTCATTTTTGCTTGTAGGATGACCCTGAGGGACACTGGAGGGCGTAGCGGAATCTCCTGTTGCCTGAGGTAAGGTTTGCTAGTGGTGGTGCAGGGGGCCTATGTGACTTTCAGTTGTGCTCCGTTTGGATACCTAGTTTTAAAATGTTTTGAATCGGAATGTTTTCGGCCACGGCAGGCCGTCTTTAGAATGCCGCACCTCCCACAAATCCTGACTGTACCGTGGCCCAGCCTCTTCTTCTTGGTACTTACCTGGCAACTCTAAGTAACCTAAACCTCTGTTTCAGAAGTGTTGTAAAACTCTACAGCGTCATAAGATAACTGTAATTTCTCACGTCAGGTACTTAGGCACATAAGCCCGATGACCCTCTCGGCACAATGTAAACAGTTTGTCAAGGTGGCCCATTAAAATTTCACGTGTCAACCACAGTTTTGCCCCTCAGCTTTCAAAACAACAGATACCCTGTTTTTGGAGCTGTCTTTGATTTGGGGACAGCTGGTTAACCTGAAGCGGCTTCCGCAGTCGAATGTGGTTTTCTGTGCAGCAACAGGATGAAGGATATTTATCAGTCTCATTATACTTGGAAAGGGATGCCTCTCTGTTTCAGTCCCAACTGCTGGGCCAGTGCGAGGGTAGCACTTAGTGAAGACAGCTGTTCCTCTCGGGCCCTGGAGTTTAGCTTTAGCCGCCGTGGTGCTGATTGAAGGAGGCCTCCGGAAGGTAGATCACCCAGCCCGCAGGGCTGTGGCGCGTCCCCGTGCAAGGGGCCATTTCAAGTGTCTGGAACGGTCCGGCAGGCTGGTGTGGTGGCTGAAAGAACAGGCTTGAAGACAGACCTGGTGTCAAGTGCAGACCTCCCCTGTTTTCCAGCAGCGGGGAAGGAGCGGAGAAGTCAGGTAACTCAGGGTCACGTGGAGCTCACAGACATGGCTCCATCCCTCCAGCTCAGGTTGGTACAACGTTTAAGGCTTTCTCTTCGTTATTATTTTATATGACTTGATTTAAAAAAAAAAAAATCTGTTCTTGTTGATGGTTAGATAAATGGAGCCCTGGCAACGGTTGGAACAGCGCAGGTGCACTCACCTAACTGGTGTAGAGGAGTCAGTCCTTTTGGGTTCTATGTAAATGCCCCAATGCCGTTGGACATCCTTGACCACCGAGGGTCTTTCCACGCAACCCTTCACGCAGAAGGGGGTGAGCTTCGTCGGGAAGTACTTACCTCAGCTGGTGCACTTCCCTAAGCAGAACTGAGGAGTTCTTATTTTACTCGTGGTTTCCAGGTGTGGGTGGTCATGTTCCACGGCTACCCGCACTTGCCATGAGCAGGCTGGGCTACATGTGGAGGGAGCTGATGTGTCCTGTGCCCTTCTGGAAGGGTCCCACAGAAATGCCAACTGCGAGGCCGGGGAGAGTGCGCTACTGTCAAAGGGCGTCACCCGGAAGCTGCTGAGGTTCTAGCTCCTCTCCCAAGGCCGCTGACCTTTGAATTAGGGGGTCTTCTGCTTGGAATCCACTCTGAGCCGAGTGTGGCTGCGTGAGTAGCCATTCCTGAGCTTTGTGGTTGACTTCAAATGTAATCCTGGACATAGTTTTACTTACTGGTGAGCTTTTGCCTATAGGGAAGCATCCCTAACTTTTTTCCCCACACATCTCTCCGTCTCTCCATTTGAAAAGAAACTTGGAAATTTCTTTTTCTTCCTTTGCTCCCAACTACCGTGAGCTGCCTAAGTTAACAGTAAACAAATTTGTATGGAGTGCCTGCCCCATCCAAGACATGGAGGATGAATGGTAGCAATCTTCAGGGAGGGTCTTCAGTATTTAAATAA